TTGATGTAAATATTTCAGTTCAATAATTATATTATATAAACTGTCTTATTCTATTTTTAGGCAGTTATTATTATATATTCATTTAAATTATGGTATATAATTATAAAAAATCAAAAACCAAGTGGACATCAACGTATTTAACATCTTGGATTTTTTTTCGAAGAAAGATACTACAATAGAATTGTATATTATTGTATTTTTTAATATGTATATTTCCATTTATTGTTTTATAAGATTACATTTTCTTTGTATGTTACTGACTAGAATATCTAGCTTTATAAAACTTTTTGCATTGTTCAAATAAGAAGTAATGAGAATAAGAATTCTTTTATTTTCTTAGCAGTTTGAAGTAAAAACCAAACATAAACAGGATATTTTAATTTCAATCGTCACTGATAAAAGGGTTAATATGCATTTCAAAACAGTTCATAAAAAAACATACTATACATGTCGACCTTATTTTTATATTTTTCTGCGATATTTTTGTAATGTCTAAAGATAGAGTGATAGAGGAATTGTATGTTTAAAGGGTAGCATCTGAACTAATCATGGTACATAATTGAATACCGTGAAGAAAGTTACAGTGGCCTATAACGACATAAATCCAATTTCTATTTATAAATTGTATATATTACAATAACAGAACAAAACGAGTAATACTATTTCAAGTGAGAAACATTTCGTATATTTTCTAAAATATTGTTATCTAATCTTTCGAAAACTTAGAATTCATATAAATCATCCTTAATATTTATCACAACAATCTTTACTGATGACATATATATATATATAGTTGAAAAGGTAGGTCATTTTGACGCATTTTATTATCAAAATAACTTTTCATAAATAAATCAAATAATATTATTTTTGTGGGGCAGATATTGAGACTAGAATACATGGGAAATAACAGATGTCTGTGTGTTATCAAATTGAATAAAAACCATGTAATCACTATTACTTCAATAGAATAAGAAAAGTTAGAACAACAAATAAAAAAATGATTCGTCTTGTTTTTCTTTTATTCATTACAACTGTTATTTCAAGTTCAGTTTATCGGCCAATTGTTCTTATGCATGGCATCATAGCATCGGCTCATGATATGGATGAATTAGCTGGTTGGCTTCGAACATCTTTTCCCGGTATATATGTTACTTCAATTGAGATCGGTAATGGTGCAGAGGATTCGTTTTTATGGCCGTTAGAAAAACAAGTTGAACATTTTTGTAGACATGTTCTTGCTGATGAACATCTACGTCAAGGTTTTAATTTACTTGGATATTCTCAAGGAAGTATTATTGCACGTGGTGCACTTGAAAGATGTTCATTACCTGTTCATAATTTAATAACATTAAGTGGTGTACATCAAGGAGTTTTTGGTGTACCATATCTTATAATGTTACCTGCACAATTTCGTGAATTAATCACAAAATATGCATATGAAAAACCAGTACAAAATACGATTAGTGCAGCAAATTATTGGCGTGATCCTGATCGATTGAAACGATACACATCTGAATGTCATTTTCTTCCCGATATAAATAATGAACATGAAGTACGAAATGAAACTTATCGGGCAAATATGCTAAAATTAAATGCATTCGTTATGACTTATTCTGATATTGATGAAATTGTTGCACCACGACATTCAGGTATATTTATGGGTTATGCACCAAATTCACTACATGTTGAAACATGGAATAATTCAAGACAATTTACAGAAGATCTTATTGGATTAAGAACATTATTTGAACAAGGAAAATTATATACTTTTACATCTCATGTAAAACATCAAGATGTTCCACATAAACCAAACAAAGACTTTCTTATAAAAAATATATTTCCTTTTCTTAATAATACACTTTCATAGAATATATGTAACATGCAATAAAATATTTCATTTAACTTTTAAATAATAATGCTATAGAATAATATCATTCTATGATATCAGCTACCAAATTCGAATAATTCTTTGTGACGCCCACTTTCGACAATTATTCCATTAAAAAGAGTACATATAAAATCTGTATTTTGAATTGTTGTTGATGTTCGATTTTCTTAAGCATAATTTAATTCATCTTGAACAATATTTTCACTTTCGCTATCTAATGTAGTTGCTTCATAGTACAAATCACAATAAGGTCAATTCTCTTTTCTCACGTTCATTATGTAATGCTCAAACAATTACTAAAAACTAATACTATCACTCTGATAAGACTTTGTTTTTATTTACTTGACAAGTGAATACTTTTTGCACCGTAATTTGTTTCATATCCTTAGAACATGTATATTTTACAGTCAAAAATTAAATGAATGATCACTTATATCTAGTACTAATCAGAAATGACCATGGCGACGCATCAGCAGCTGATTTCCAACCGTAATAGACATCTCTGGTACTAGTTGAATAAAATCATACATATTTACATTTTTAGCTGCTTCAATAATTCCATCTAATAAAATGTTTGTGCAATAGAACAACTTAAGCGAATATTTTTGAAATACATTCACTAGTTTGAAAGAGCATAAAAAGTTTGCTAAAAACCTGAACTCTAGCAACTCTTCAGCAAACCTTTCTAACATTTTAAGAAAATTTTGTTTACTTACAAAATATTGATATGTCCAGAATCATGACTATTTATACATTCTGTTTTTTAAAATTTTCGATCACAAAAAATTAATAGAAGACATTACAATTTAATACCAATGGATAGAGCGAACGATGCTCGATAAAAACTTATATTTTATTGATGCACTATGTAGTGCATTAAAAAATGAAGTCATTATAGTGTATGCGCTTAACACTTTTTTCATACTGTTTTTCAAGTTTTTTGTTTCTGTTATGCACTTTTTTTGAGAGTCTAGAATAAACTTCACATAGTCTTATAGAGCATTCTAGGGCGCATCTTTTGGTAAAATAATATTTGTTCTAAAGTACTAACAAAATCTCAAAAAGTCTATGATATTATTGTTCACTACACCATCATTTTGATATTTTCCAAAAATACGCTATTTGGTTCTTTATGAAAAGATCACTACTTTAGATAAAGGCCGTGGGTGATTGTGGATGTTGAATAAAGACAATATCGACACCCACACCCACCACACCCACCACACTCACGAACTCTTCAGCTCTGTTCGTGTTGTTTTTTCTGTTTTCATCACCTCAGTCACGATACGCAAATGGTAGGAAATTGACTTGATTTTTAGAACATTTATTTGTTGATTAAATATAAAATGATGAGACAAGAAGCAACATTGATTAAGGATAAAATGATGAAACAAGAAGCAACATTGATTAAATATGAAGTGATGAGACAAAAAGCAATACAATAAAAATTCAGTTTTTAAAAGTCATGATTTAATGTTCATCCAATGTCGATGGTTGGCTGAAAAGGAACTACTTGTGCTGATGTTGAACGAGAAGCGGTTTGCATCCATCTCACAATTTTCTGATACATACGCCATCCACGCCAGACAATAAAACTAAGAACCACCGTCAACCCACCATACAGGCCAAGCAAAGTGGTGATTATATAAAGTATTGTGTTGTGATCAATGTATTTGTATGAACACGAATGCGGAGCACACGAAGCAAAGTAGCTTGAATAATTACTTGCAATTCCCCAATCTTCCATAAATAAACTATCAGCGAGGCTGCCTATAAGAGTATTTGAAGAATAATTACTAGGTGTCGAAGCATTCAGCGGTTTTGCAATCCAAATAGTGGTAGTGCGTGTCGATGCAATGCTTGTCAAGTTGAGTATACAGCTGGAATCAAAGAAACATTCTAGAGTCGACAGACGAATACCATCAATTGGTAAACAACCAGCCACCACACCAGGTAATACTGTTGTGTTAGAATTCGCATCAATATATAATAATCGTGAGGAACTATTTAATGATGTAATACATGAATAATTATTCCCAGATGAATTACGTGGCACAGTGGCAATGACGTAATTGTATGCTGCAGTTGTAAAAGCTATTTGCCAGTTTGTTTCAGGTATAGTCAACAGTTGATTTGCACGAAATGTTTCATAAATGTACGACTGAGTATGACGAAATTTGTCTGGTGTTTGAGTAATAAATGCAGCAGTAAGAGAATCAATTTGAGTTTGAAATAAACTCAATGATATTGCTTCTAGAGTGACTAATTTGTTGCTAAGAAATGCAGTTTTGTCATTGTCGATAGATTGGTTTGCTAATGAACATAATGATGCAAGAACACGAAACTGAATACTAAGAAGTTGAAGATCCCCAAAATTGGTCACATTATCAATGCCCCATAGATAACTCCACCATTGTTGTGCAACGAAATCGCTAGAACATACCTGATGCAATCGAGGTGAAATTGAGAGAAATACATCGTGTTGAATAGAGGTCTGTGAACATAAACATGAGAGACTTGACTTGTATTGATCTTGCAGGTACGAAAATGTTGTTAGCGATGGTGAGAAAATTGTGATAGTGCGTGTTTGTTGACTGAAACTAGTGAAGAAAATGATGACACCGAAAGCTAGAGACAACAAAATGATGTAGAGTCGGCTAGGTTTCTTTGTGTCGATATCATGATTCGCTGGCTGATTATCTTTGAAAACATCTATGTTCATCAACGTATTTCGTACATGGGTTAATAGTAAGCACTGTTGATTGTTGCGCTCAGTGATTTGTGGATCTAGAATGATCAAAGAAGTTGATTATTTACTTAAACAATGTTACTTCCTAGACTAAAATGATTTTGCCTATTAGAGGGTAATACTCGTGCTAATTCTTTTTCTACCTGTGTCATCATTTAAGATTTTTGTTGCATACAAATGTGAAAGCTTAGGCTAGACAACTAACATCTTGCACTATTTTCTTGCACAATTAAAACGCTAGTTATATATTGCATTGTTTCTAAGAACTACAATCATGAAGTAATTGCATCAAGATTGTGGAAGTGTTGTCAAACTAAAATAGCTTTTTTCTGAGTTGATAATTGGGCAAATTATTTGTTAATACTTTCAAGTAAACTGAAGTCAAAAGAAATGCAACCCAGCTGTTCAAAATCAGAGATGTTCTAGGTATACGAATATATTATATTTTCTATGGAGTGCCATGCGTGGCTAAGATTGGGAAGTCGTCAGTGTTTTTATGATCTAACATCTGTTAATCGTCGTTATTCATTCGTCTATCTGTTCCACATACATACTTCTGATGAACATAAATAGAATATGCTATATTTAATTTCTCTTATTTATAGCGACTCTCAAATTCATCAGTTTCCCAAGAACAAAAAGATTCAAAGAGAACAGAATCAACATGCACTCATCATCAGAAAGGATTTCATAGCTATGAAAACATACTAACTTTTTCTGCACATCAGTAGTAATCAAATGGGTCGCAAATGTTAGCCATTGGCTACGCCATAAGAGCTTAAAACAACTAATCTTGATCACTACATTATACAGAAGAAGTCTAGGCTATATCCTCTTATTCGGGAGGAATTGCGACTCCCATAACAGTCCTATATTGTCTGCCATCTACTATTCCACAACGGAAGATTTTTTGTAGCAAAATCGAAGAAGTACTTGTATCTATTCAACAATTGTAGAGATAGCTCATTTTCAAGAAAATAGATTCGTATCCGCTACACTCGTATGGATTAATACTAAAAATGTGCAAACAATCGAAGTTAGAAACTGTCTGTATTTCTATAAACAATAAAATAACGATAATAGTGCGTATTCTAAGAATAAGTGTCTAGCAAAAAAACAGCTGTTTCACTTCTCATACAATGAAATATAGAGTGAAATATATAGATAATAAATATATGAACTCACCCAATCTGTCGACGCCTTTACAGCGGTGAAAAATACCCACAATCACTTTTACACAAGGTGGCAGAATAAGCTTTAGTGCAACACTAAGTCCACCCAACAAACCGATGAGAACTGTGATGGCAGTAACAAGAGCATATCGTTGATTGTATGTGTATGTGCAACTACCAGGTTTGCAGGCTGTATAGTAGGTGTTATAATCAATGGATGATGTCCAATTTTCGATAAACATGCCCAATACCAGTGGTTCAAATGTGGAGTTAGGTAAAAACTGACTGGGCAAATCTGGGTCGAGTGCTGTAGTATTAGCTCCACGAGGATCGATCGGTAACTTCTTACTACTGATGTCAAATAAACGCCAATCAAGCAGAAATTGAATACATGATTGATTGAAGAGGCAGTCAAGTGTTGAGACTAGTAATGAGTCTATGGGTGTACAGCCCATATACATACCAGGAGCAGTAAAATTTGGTGATACATTGATATTATGGCATGAGCTTGCACTGCAATAGAAACCTAGTGGTCGAGTACATTTGCTGGATATGGCACATGAACAGTTAGATCCCGAAGGATACATAATTCGAAGACGCAATTGAACTCGGGTACGATCAGGCGAGGCCTTTACATTAGGTGCAATGCCTACTGGGCAGTAGAATTGATTATCTCGAATTGCCGTGCTTAGTTGAGAGAATAGAATCTGAAAAGAAGCTTGTGTTTCTTGTTGAAATTGTTGTGCCAGTTCAGTCGTTTTCTTTTCGAATAATATATATGACATCGGATACGCATTCACTAGTTTTGTGGCACCGAAAACAGCTGCGGCATTTACGAAAGTTGTTTTGGCTGTTTCACACAGTGTTTGCATTAAAGTAAATAGATTCAAACCGGAATTTGCACGAAAATCAGCAGTAAAAAAAGTGATAGTGGTCGAAATGTTTGTCGTGTTGACTGACGCTGACTGGTAATAGAGTAACCAGCGATCATTTCGGATAAAATCACTTGAGCAGAGCTGATGAAACTGAGGCGTAACAGTCATTATCTCACTATAGGTTATAGAAAGGCCAGTGCATGGACATACGAGTGTCGATGAATATCGAGAGTATAGTTGTTCGAAGGTATCCAAAGAAGGTTGCTGTACGGTAACACTTATCGTGGTCACACTCAACAGTGAGTAACTGAAGAGAATGACTGCACCCATAAACGTGAGAAAAATATAGAGACGCGTTGTTTGAATTCCCAAATTCACGGTAGAAAAAGACCTTTCAAACATGTTAAATGTGCTGATTAGTTGACGAATTCGATGAATGAGGTTGAGAAGGCGTCCTCCGATGCTTGGCACTAGAACAACTTAAATAGTTTTTATCAGTTGTCATTTATAAAAGAAAAATTGAATATCTGAACAAACAACAGTTTATCTTTCAAACAGTTCTTTATTTTCAAAGTTTCTTCTTCAGAAATATATTGAATCAGATAATTCATTAGTATCATTCCGCGAGAATGAAACAATCAGGAAAAGTAAACAAGTTGCCTACCTTCAGGATTATTGTCCATTGTAGGAATTGCTTCACCTCGGCATTTAACTAGTAAATGACGAAATAGTTGTACGAGGAGAGGAACAAGAATACCGAGTATTGTTGTGAGACCTCCGATGAGACTAAGCAGCATCGTCATTGCATAAAGAAAATTACCACGTTGTGTATAGGTGTAGGAGCATGCTTCCGGACGGCATGCACTATAGTAACTGGTGAATTTACTCGAATTTTGCCACGTTTCGACGAAAAGCTGTTCGAACATAGTATTTACGGTTGTATTGACTTGAAAGCGAGATGGAAAAGTCGCATTAAGTGGAATGATCGCTTGTGAGATACCGATGAGATCTAGACATGAACGATTGTAAAAACACTCCAGTGTCGACTGAAGCATTGAATCATGAGGTAGGCATCCAACCAGCATACCTGGCACGATAAACATAGGTGATGGCGAAGGTTGATATACACTGCTCATATTCTGTGAAGGGCGAATGGCGTAGTTGTAATAACCAGCTTGAAAAGTACAGTTTGACATGGTTGTACAATCGCAATAGGTATTATATGAATTCGAGGTGTTGCTGATAATATAATTCCCAATTGGGTACTGTCCGTGTTGAATGTAGTATGTCGACACTAATGGATTCTGGATGACGTAACGATTGGTATTCAAAGCTGACATAATTCCGCTATTGAGAGTAACCAGAGATACCAGCCGATCGATGTATTTTACATTCGCTATTGTTGTGGTTTGCATTTGTTCGACAAGTGCTTCAACTTCAGCCTCGAATACTTCACGTGATACGGCTTGATTTGTAACAATTTGTTGTGCTAGAAATTGATTCAGAGCACCATTAATAGTCCATGCCGCTGTTTGACACAAGGATGCTAACACCTGAAACTGAGACATAGCCATCAGACGAAAATCTAATGGATAAAATCGAGACATATTTATGTTGAAAAGTGTTGAAATGAATTGTTGAGAAATAAATTGACTTGAACACACTTGATGATAACGTGGATCGAATAACATAAATTCATCATATCGAATATTGATTTGTGAACAAGGACAAACGAGAGTATTTGGATACTCATCGCTCAGATGTTCAAATTGATCAACCGAAGGTGATGTAACAGTTCCGATGTGTGTTTGCATGCTCAACGTTGCAAACAAGGTGACAACGACAACCGAGATATTCAGAAGAATAATAAACAATCGAGTTGCTAACAACTGATCTTCGACTGTCAAAGAGTTATCGGTTTCGTACAAGTTAAGCTTCCCCAGCCATACATAGAGACGCTTCCAAATCATCATTATAAAACTCAACACTGCAATTATTTTGCAACAACTCATTCTCCTTAAATATGCTCGTACGACAATGCTGACTTCGAGCACTACGATTCGGAAACAGCTGTAAGGCTTGCTTTTATTTATTGTAAGAAAAATCATACTATAAGAGTGAGATACATTGAAAAATGAAGTAAATATTGAATCGTATCTTCCAGCTGCCTTTGTAAATGCGCTGAACGTTTTTCTCGTGTTGTTTAAATGACTTCTGCAAAGTCAGTGAATAATAAAATATCATAGTTCACTTAGAAAAAGTCCGTGAATAGTGCATTGTATATATGACTTCTACAAAGTCAGGGATTATTAATGATCTAGTTGAGAAAAGTCATAGATGTGATTTGTTAAAAAATATATAATAAAATCAGCAATTTGTTTTAGTGGTGGGGTCTATTCAATAGTATTAAGCAATAAACTAGTGTTAGAAGTTATTTATATCATTTCAGACTGTGCTCATATATACAAAGAAACAGCGAAAGATCAGATTTTAGTTCATCTAGTTTGTGATTTCCAATCAGTTTTTTGAATGATATAGTTTCAATAGACTGTGTATTCACGTATATGTAGCTTGATTTACATATGGAAATATAAAATGACGTCGTCTCGTGTAGTGTGCCGTAATTTATTTTAACTTAGTATTAAATCTATTAATGTTGATACAAGAAGTCGAAAAATATTATCAACAATTAGAGCTTCCAGAAGAAAGACAAGAAATCTCTTTTACAATTATTTTAATTATAGTTGAATCAAAGAAAGAAAAAACGAATGAAACCGTCGGTTTTGACGTTTTTTTACTCGTGATTATCATTCGAGATGATGTAAATGACTACTGACATGAATTTATCGTTGATTTCATACTCATCTTTTAGCAAGGCGAACGTATCACTGTGCTCAACTAGATCATTATATTATTCACTGACTTTCAAAACTCATTTAAACAATATCATAGAAATACTCCAGGCATTTTCAAAGACAGTTGTTAGATACGATACACTTTTTTTACTGATCTTTGAGCGTTTATTTCTTATATCATGCTTTTTCTTACAATAAATAGAAGCACGCCTTGCAGCTGCTACAAAGAAAAACGTTCAAAGTCAGCATCTTAGTTTACTATCAACAAGATGTCATTGAAATTCTGAAATAATTTTAGTATTTATGATACCATCATTGAGTAAAAATAAATATCTTGATACGAATACAAATTATTAGATATATTCAATAGTATTTTACCAGAAAGCCAAAAGTCTATATCTTGTACTATGAATAAGACATTATAACTTTCACATACAGGTTTTTAATTTTGTCTAGTGATGTTGAATATTACTTTGAAAAAATAAAACTATCAATATTCCTAAATCTGATTATTACTACAATCATCTATTAATTTCGATCTTTCATGATGTAATATTTTATTTTTAATGACAACATCAAAGATCCTATAAAAGTATCTATAGATCACTTAGATTTATATTTTATGTAGAGTATCGAATCATATACGACAATCGTTTCATTTTTGTTCAACAATGAATTAAGTTTAATTCATTAGTTTTTCTCATCCGAAGTGTGTCAATATTTACTCGCATAGTTTCTATATCATTCATGTATATTAGTTGTGTTTCTAATATATTCCATATAATAATTTCAACAGAATAAGATTTTTTAGTTTTTTCAATCAGCTTTATGATATTCATTTATTCGATTATATGCATAAATACGTATAATATATAACAGTCAAAAGACAAACTATAGGTATCAATTCGAATCAACAGAAATATTGATTTATCGATACTGTTACTACAACGAACTTTCAAACTTGGAATATCTTATTGATAGAATAGATATACTGGAACATAAATATGAATTTCACCTATATGTAATTTATTTTTTATAAAAACATGGGTAAATACTATGAAAAGACATTATTTTTCAAGTGAAATTTGAAATCACTTGATAATGACTAATTTAATTTACTAGAAACACCTGACTTTTTCTCTCACTATAAAATTGTTTTCAATGAAAAAAACGTTGACCAATGCATAGTTCTTTTAAAAATAAAGTTAAATGCAATATATTGCCTCTTTGATATTCATATAGTAAATGTTATTGGGAATATTTAGTAATATAAGAGACATTGTTTTATCTTTAGGTATCATGCAATATATAATGATGCACACTTCTTCATAATCAGATAACATTAAATTTAATGGTACAACATATTGATAATAGAACATATACTCAGTTAATTCTATCTATTCAATATAGTATTTTATTTTCGAAATTCAAAAACAAGCCATGTATAATTTTCTATTTAAAATTGATAAATAGTCTGAATAGATTAACTTTTGTTCTCTATTGAATTTTTCCATAGATGGCGCCATTCACCGATTCTCAAAATAAAAGAAATATATATTTATAAATATTTGATAAATTAAATGTAAACATTTCAATAATTTTTTAAAATGAATTCAAACTATTATCAGTAATTAACAATCATATAATACAATATATATGATTGGTTCGTGTTGGCATAGTCTTCGTCATGCATCTATATCTATTTATTTCTTCCTTCATTGGCAATATACGTATATACATGCTTATTTATCGTTTTCATAAAATTTTCGTCAGTTTTTAGTCAGGATGTCTATCAGGTAAAATTAATTTCTATGACACAACTATTACATGCTTCGATGGTTGCATTTCACTATATGTTTTAGACTTATATGTT